ACATGTTTTCATCACCAGTTTTCACCATTATTTCCTTCATCTGTCAAAGATAACTTCGTCTTTCCTTGTTTAGCATCTACCTACTTCCTGTGGTAGATAAGAAGATATAATCAGGCTGAAGATTAAATATGTTTAAGAAGGACATAGAAAAACCTATAAATGACAGAGACCAAAAGATATCGAGATTAGTTACTGGTGGTTGATACATATCTCTGAATATTAAGGATGTTATAATAAGGAACAACTACGGCCATGATGTCTCCTAAGACATAAAGTACTGGGTGTGGTTGAACATGGGTCTATATTTATTTATCTAAAAAAGTAGAATACCCATAGTGATTAGTTGTCCAACTTCCTTAGCTTCAGCTCCTGGAAGCTGTATTGAGTCCTAATTTAGGTAAAGTATGTTGATTCCTGATGTTGAACTGAATTTAAATTGCAGGCACTTAGGAAAAGGCAGAGCCCCACAGTGAAATGAGGGCTGACCCTTTATAATATAATCACATATCACTTTTGTTTTCTTCTTCCTGTTAGATAAACCTGATGAAGGTGGTGAAAGTAAAAATTTATTAAAGAAGGTTTTAGTCAGCAAAGAGCTTCATATATTAATCCTCATTTGTACCATTTTACTGCAATAAAGTCACAATAAGCATTAACTCTGGGGCAGACAAGTTAGACAATTAAGGTGCTTTTTACAAATGTTATTGGAAGAGGTGAACAGTAATATCTGAGAAAGTGTTCTTTCCATGAACTTTAAAAAAATTAAAATAACATTTTCTTTCACCACAGAGCTGAATTTGCAATAGCTCACCACTTATCAAAAGATCACACAAGGTGGAGCCCACACCATCTTGAAGGGGAGAGCAGCCTCGACTAGGAGCCCAGCCTCACCACCACCCAGACTGGCCTTGGACACCACCCGGGACCTTGAAGCCACTCCAGCCATAGTCATGCTGTTTCACCCGCAGACCCCAAGACTCCTGCCTTCCTGGCCAAATATGTGACTCCCCCCTCACCCACTGCTGGCTTCTGGACACCTCGATGTCACTGGCCCAGCAATAGACCCCGCAACTACCACTTCCCTGGCTGCCGGATCCTGGGCCCCTTAGTGAGTTGCTGAGTGCATGCCTCTCCTGTGAAGGGTGCACAGCTCTAGCAACAGAACCTGTGACTTCCCCCTTCCTGATTGCCGACTCCTGAATAACTGGAAGAGTTGCTGAGTGCCTCTCTGGCTAAGGGCACACAACCCCTGACTATGGCCTCCCTGGCCGATAGATCTTGGGCCCTTCGGTGAGTTGCTGAGTGTGTGCTTCTCCTGCCAAGTGTGCACTGCTTCAGCTTCAGACCCCCGCAACTCCCCCCAATCTGGCTGCTGTCTCCTGGACACCATGGTTGTGTTGCTGCAGCAGCAGACTCCGAGACTACCACCTCCCCAGCTGCCAACTCCTGGGCTCCTTGGTAAGCTACAGAGTGGGTGCCTCTCCAGCCAAGGTTGTACTATTTCAGCTGAAGACTCCCACATCCCTGGCCCCTGGCACCTGACCCCCTAATGATTTGCAGAATGAAGCCACCCTGGCTAGAGTCCCACTGACTCACCCGCAGACTATGGGAAACCTGCCTCCCACCCCCTAGTCATGGGCACCGAGACCCTTGCAGTGATTTGAAAAGTGACACTACCCTGGCAAGAGTCATGCCACACTGGCCAGAGATACACTACCTCAGCCTCAGGCCCTGGGACCCCGGCCACCCAGGCTGTGGAATCTGGGACCTCACAGTGAGCTCATGTAAGCAGACCTCAGGTAACCCTTGCCACAAGAGCTGGAACAACATGCACATCCACAATAGCTTGCAAGATGAGGCTGGATGAATCACATTATCAGACAACCTGTGAGGAGACTTCATTCATAAATGAAAAACTAATATCCAAGAGCCAACCTCATCACAAGAACACAAATAATGCAAGTAGGGTGCTCTATTAGTACACTGAGCTCATGAGACCTGAGAGACTGGGTACCACAAATCACCAACTACATAGGACCACCCCCAAAATAATCTGGGTGGCATAGCAGTTAGATCTAAGACATAGAAACAATTACAATGGGACAACAAAAATAGGGAGACAAAGACACAATCCCCAAAGAAAAGAAAAAGAGGAATCACCAGAAAAGGAATTAAATGAAATGGAGGCAAGTAATTTGTCAGAGAGAGAATTCAGAGTAGTGGTTATAAGGTTGCTCAGACATCTGGATAACAAATATACACAACACAAAGAAAATTAGAAGGAGCTGAATGAGAATTTCACCAGCATGGTTAAGAATCAAGAAGAAATGAAGAATGACATAGCTACAAAAAGAACACAATGGATGGTTTCAACAGACTAGAAGAAGCTGATGACCGAATCGTAAGTTAGAAGACAAATTAGAAAAAAAAATTAGCTAAGCTGAGGAGCTACTTGAGAAAAATTAAGAAATAGAAGGAGAGTCTAAGGGATCTTTGGGACAACTAGAAATTAAGCAATATCCTCATAATAGGGTTGCCAGAAGAAGAGGAATCTGAGCAAGGACTAGAAAACCTGTTTAAATAAATAATGACAGAAACCTTCCCAGACTTGGGAAAAAATGTCACACAAATCCAAGAAGCACAGAGAGTCCCAAGTAAGATGAACCCAAAAAGACCCACACCAAGACACATCATAATTAAAGTGGCAAACATACAAGACAAAAAAAGAAACATAAAGGCTGCAAGAGAGAGACAGAAAGTTACCTACAAGGGATCTCCTATTAGACTATTAACTGATGTATCAACAGAAACACATCAGGCCAGAAGGGAATGGAATAAAGTATACAAAGTAATGCAAAGCAAGGGAATGAATCCAAGAATACTCTATCCAGCAAGGCTATCATTCAAAATTGAAGGTGAAATCAGGAGGTTCACAGACAAAAATAAGCTAAGGGAGTTTATTACCACCAAACTAGCAATGCAAGAAATGATAAAGGGACTGCTGTAAAGAAGTAGAAAGTGAGAAAGGAACACCGGCATAAAGAACAAAAAATAAGTACCTATCCTATATAATAAAAGCCTAATAAGATAAATTGTCCCCTTGGGCGGTGATTCGACCAGGAGACCAGGAATTCAACTGCTTGCTATGACATGCGCTGACCACCAGGGGATGGCATGGAACATGGTGAGCATCAGCGACATGGCACTGGCAACATGCTGCATTGGAGGCGCTGCCGGCCCTAATGGGCACTGATGAGAACGGGACCGTGGCAGGATGGTGGAGCAGGTGAGCGGGCAGTGCCAGGCCAAGGCGGGTGCAAGCAGGGGCCTGATTGCCCTGCTAATCACCCCGCAGATTGTGACCAGTTGCTGAGGGAGCCGGGCAGGGAACCCCCTCCACAACTGATCATCTTGCAGATGGTGACCAGCAGCAGCGGCAGGGGACGGGGATGCTGCCTGGCTCCAGGAACTGAGGGAACTGGGCTGGGGTCCCAGCCCCGATTGATCACCCCACAGGCGGGATGGTAAAGCTGGTGAGTGGACAGCACCAGGCCAAGGTGGAGTGCCAGGCTGGGCTGCAGGACTGCGAGGCTGGAGGCACAAGCTGGGACTGTGAGGCTCGGGGCATGAGCTGGGGCCCGATCTCTGCAGGCCACCCTGAAGGACCCCACCCATGCACGAATTCGTGCACTGGACCCCTAGTCAATAATAACTTTAAATGTAAACAGATTAAATGCTCCAATCAAAACACATAGGGTAGCCAAATGGATAAGAAAACATGACCAATATATATGCTTTCTACAACAGACCCACCTCAGAACAAAGGAATTAAAGACTGAAAGTGAAGGGATGTAAAAAAATTCTTCAGGCAAATGGAAATGAAAAAAAACCTGGGTTAGCAATACTTATACCTGACAAAATAGACCTCAAAGTGAAGGCCATAACAAGAGATAAGGAGGGCCACTTCATAATACTAAAGGGAGCAATTCTATAAGAGGTATAACTCTCGTAAACATATATTCACTCAATACAGGAGCAAACAAATACATAAAAGTCTTCTGGAAGATATCAAGGGAGAAATCAACAGCAATACTTCAGAGTGGGAGACTTTTTAAAAAAAATATTATTTCATGTTTTATTGAAATTTTAATCATGGGCTTAAAAATGTAATAATTCCATTTATTTATTTTTCTCTTTATTGATTAAGATATTACATATGTGCCCTTATCCCCCCCCATTGACCCACACCACCCTACTCATGCCCTCAACCCCCTGGTGTCTGTGTCCATTGGTTAGGCTTATATGCATGCATACAAGTCCTTTGGTTGATCTCTCCCCCTTACCCCTGCCCTCCCCTACCTTCTCTCTGCAGTTTGAGCATCTGATCAATGCTTCTCTGTCTCTAGATATGTTTTTGTTCATCTGTTTATGTTGCTCATTATAGTCCACAAATGAGTCAGATCATGTGATATTTATCTTTCTGTGACTGACTTATTTCACTTAGCATAATGCTCTCCAGCTCCATCCATACTGTTGCAAATAGTAGGAGATCCTTCCTTTTTATAGCAGCATAGTATTCCATTGTGTATATGTACCAAAGTTTTTTAATCCACTCATCTGCTGATGGGCACTTAGGCTGTTTCCAAATCTTAGCTATGGTGAATTGTGCTGCTATGAACATAGGAGTGCATATGTCCTTTCTGATTGTTGTTTCTAGTTTCTTGGGATATATTCCTAGAAGTGGGATCACTGGGTCAAATGGGAGTTCCATTTTTAGTTTTTTGAGGAAACTCCATACTGTTCTCCACAGTAGCTGCACCAGTCTGCATTCTCACCAGCAGTTCAGGAGGGTTCCTTTTTATCCACATAAAGGCAATGTTGGTACAGAAGTACAGTATTTCTATTTGTTGTTCGAAGTATGTACAACACGCAGCACTGCTGTATCAGGTAAACATGTGCACAGGGGAAGATGAGGCGTGGGCTCATAGAAAGCAGTCAAATGGAAATCAAAAGGACTTTCTCTTTGAGAGTTCCCCTATCTTTATTTGTAGAGGTTATCCAATAATTTCTTTAATTACATCGCATACTTCTGAGTCCATTCCCGAGCTATTCTGTTGTACTTTTCTCTATCTGTTTTGTAGATCAGAGCAATCTCAGGCACTAAAGGATCATCTGGATTAGGATCACACAACAGAGAACAGATGGACAAGAGTACTTTTGAAATAGTTAGTGCTGGAGACCACTGTGACCACAGAATATCAAGACAAATGCTGCCATTACTGTTAATATTTGGATGATAAGTTCTTGTAAATGCAACCTTAGGTGGTTTGAAGGGATAATCTATTGGGAAATGAATTGTCAAGAAAAATACTCCACCCTGATAGGGACTGTCGTTTGGCCCCATTATTGTAGCTTGCCAATGGAACATATCATCTCCAACAGGACCTGCTGAACACTGTTCTGGGGGGTCCCATGCCAGGTCATTCAATTCCTGGGTTGTGGGCTCGATCTCCAGTAGGGGGCCTGCAAAAGGCAGCCGATTGATGATTCACTCTCATCATTGATGTTTCTTCTCTCTCTTCCTCTCCTTTCTATTCCTAAGTGTTGCTAAATTCCCTGGGCGGCTCCTTTCGACAAATTTTTACCATAGCCCAGAGGGCCTATATAAGTCTTCTGTCCATTTCTCCAGCCAATTACCCAAACCCTCCACTTACACCTTGACACAGCAATACTGGTCTTGTTTTAGGTCTTTAAATTGACTCTATTGTCTCTTTAGTATC